AGTTTGAGTCAGCTCTGAATCACAGCACAGATCTGGAATTGAGTCATGTAGTGCCTGAAATACTTAAAAATTCTGTCCAAGGCAGAATTAATTGACATTCATTGAATATGTTCAAGCAAAGATGCTATGAGTCATATTAGTTCTTGCACTTTGAAGAAATGGATTGACAGTCAAATTAATAAATTGTAAAGGGTTGTGATATTTAATAACCTATTAAACTGAAATTTTATTATGCATTAACAGTGCAAATGTTAATTTGCTTAAGTGAGAGGATGATAGCCATAACCAAGGGCCGTCAAGAATGAACCTATTATTACCAATTTTCTTCAACACTGATGGTTAAGCATGCCGTGACAATTATTTTATTTTCTCATAATTCAGCAGAGCGACCATTATTTGTTCTGTCGGCCAATGTCGCCAAAATATATTTAAATGATGGCAATAATAAAACCAATGTCACTGTGATCTTAATATTAATCCTCTGTGAAAAAGTACTCAAAGCAGACAACTAGCAGTCATTCCAAGGAAAATACACGTGTGCTGCCTAAAGCCTATTTTTCCCCCCCGATCATACCTTTGTGCACAGGTTTTTCAGCAGGGGACCCACTTTCATTCAAGAGGAGGTAGAAAGGGAAACTTTGCTAGGAGTGGCAGAACCAGGCACATCACCAGGGCTGAGTCCTGCCTGGAGCCCTGACCGAGATGCCCTCTGGGGCTGCCCATGAACACCTGCCAACTTATAGTGCATGATGGGTAATAGAATGGAGTTTCTGCACCTGTCCTAATGTAGGCAGCCAGCAATAAAGGGGTGCTATGGCCCCCTCATTCTTCTTCTATTTTTCCTAGTGCACATACACACATATTATTTAGGAAGTTGGAGAGCCCTGGGTGAAGTAGGCAGTAGTGCTTGGTATTCTCTGACTACAAACCTAGAGGAGCACAGGCAGAGGCTCTTCCAAGTGCCCACCTGCTCTTCTCTGGGCGATCAAGAGCAGGAGGAACAGCAAAGCTGAACAGCAAAAGAAGAGAACTGCAGCTCCCCGTGCTGCTCCGGGCAGCTGGCAAAAGCAGAGGCAAACTTGGGAGCCCAAAACAGTGTAAGTACCCCACCACTGCTCCTGTAGCTGGGGGAAGCCACCATCTACCATATTTTGAGGTCTTTGAACCCTTTAAAATAGAGCGGTTTTTTCCAGGCACTCTAGTCAAGCAAGCAGGCAAAAAAGAAATGCTAAGGCTGCCCCAGAGTAGTGTCTGGGGTAGTAGACATCACAATGGCTCTGACAGAGTATTGTTTCATAGGGGCACTGGAGGAATTAAAAAGCTGGTACTAGCAAATACTTGGAAAGGTATTTTATCTTATTTTATTAGGCAAGTGCATAGAATGTGCTATGTTTGCATTGGTTGGTCCTGCCAGTGGGCATTCCCTGTCCATGCTTGCTGCTGGAGCCAGGTTTGCATATTGCCTTCATAGGGCAAAATCCAACAGCATGTTTATGTTCCACTCATTCTCTTCTGCCTGGACAACCATGTTGCATAAATGCTGAAATGAGCAGAAATACTTGCTTCTGAAAGGAGCAAATCAGCAGAGCTCATGTAAGGAACTTGCACTGACCAGCTTCCTTCCAGAATCTGGTATTCCCACTCATTTCAAGACTTCCCCTAAGAAGTGCTAAATCTTCTTTATGGAGGCAGTTAGTCCCAGCACTAGTGGCAGACTCTCTGCTTGCAAAACGGAATTGGAGGGGCAGAAAAGAATGAGCACAAACAAAAGGACCCTATTGAATCCTGCCCCTAGTTGGTTGACAAGCTTACCTATGTGCCTGGAGACAGAACTGCTCTGCTTTTTTAATGTGCCTGTTTCAGTGGAGAATCCCAAGGTAAGGCCCTGGTTGCTTGTTGCTATCATATTACTCTGAACCTGAAAATAAATTACCTGGCTGTTGACAATCTTGGCTACTTATTCTTACAGCATAAGTGTAACTGACCCTTGTGTTTTGTTTGTACATTTTTACATCATATATACTTGCAGAATAAAGTAATTAAAACAGGTAAGGGCTTTCCTGGAGTAGAATATAAAAGAATGCCAGGCTCTCCCCAAGGAGACATCTGAATAGTTTAAGGTTGTATCACGTAGTAGAGCAGCTGGGAAACAGGGAAGTAGAGAAACTCTTCAAGTCAAATACACAAAAGGGCCATGAGTCTAGGGGGATCTTTTTATCAAGGAAAGGAGGAAAGCAGCATAGTGCAAGCAATTTAGGGGCCTTCTGCATCAAATAATGAAGCATAGCCTAGGAGGCTTATAGCAGTGAGCCCACCACGAGTTCAACTGCAGCCTCTCCTGATTATCTTTCTGCATCCAATTAGCCTTAACCCTCAGTTAATAGGTTACATCTTCGCTTCCTTGTAATCGTAAATGATACTCAGACTCCGTAAGATTGTGCTTCGCTTGTAAACAAGCTAGATACCATTTAGGAATCACACTGAATAGAATACCCACCATTCCTATTCTCTCTTGTCCTGCTTTCTCGCTCAGCTGTCCAGCTCTTACTCACTTTCCCCTTGCCACTGTCTCTTGGTAGCTCTACATGCACATAAATGAGATGACAACAGTCAGGGGTTGGTAATGCCAGTCTTCTCACTGGGAAATTCTAACAAGACCGTTTTTATATCTTTTTGAAAAACTTTAGAAAGTTGTTCCTGCATTATGGACACATTGTCATTATATGGAAAAAGTTTACATCTCTCTAGTGGATCCCATCTCTGCCTACTTTGCCTGCCAGAGAAATATGGATCAACACTTCATTGTATCTCTGATATTTTCATGAGAATGATAAAAGATACTATTGCTGTAGGAGGCATGGAGGTGGAGTAGAGTTCACAGACTATTTATGATCACTTAAAACAGCACCAGACCTAATTCAGAAACCTGGGGGATCCCACTGATTACCTTCCTTCATTCTACAAACCTTCTGGTGTCCCCCCCCCCGCCGCCCCCATATTTTCTTTATCGGTATGCAAGAGATGCTGCCTGCCTCTTATATTTGAAAAATTGTAAGAACTTCAAAGTTTGTTTTTTCCCTTTTGGGATGGGATCAAATCAATGGGCAAAACCAATTAGAAAGAACAGCTGTGTTTTGGAATACACCACTAATTATTTAAATGGAGAAGAAACACCACTATAAGCATGTCACTTCTGAATAACTTTCCCTGAAACATTTATGGCAGTGTATGCCCTCATATAACCTTTACCACCACTGCTCAGTTTAATTGTTGGAATCATAAATCTGCCTTTGAACTGGAAATATGCTTCAATGAGAAGTGTCATCCAAAAATAGTACCTTTATTCATATTTAATGTTCAGAAGAAACTATTTAACACACAGTTTGTTGTTTCCTAGCTGACAGCTCTTTTAAATAGAATTATTTGAAGCAAGATACTAGGCTATATTTAATAGTACATACAATGAAACAGGAAAGTAGTAAAATTTGGAGTAGGATTTTTGTTCATATTTAGGAAAGGTTTTTTTTCTTTTTGCGTTAATACCCTGCCTTTTAAGGTGCAACGGACCATTTTTGAATGGAACTCACATGCACCCGGCTTCTCATAGCTTATTATGTTGTGCAAACACTGGCATTGGCAGTTGCTTGCAAATTAGGCAGGGCTTGTTTTTAGGGTTATTGAGGGTGATGTCCATATCCTTTGTATCTAAAATTAAGATATAAACAACACAATAAAGTAATAAAATAGTGTACATTTTTATTTAGCTTGAAAACATGATATGGCTTCATTTATGTAATGTGCAAAAACTTTTGTTGGCCACTTACAGTACCTTGTGAAGGCAAGGTGTGCTGGAGAACACATTAATGCTATGGAATATTTAAGGCAGAACATTTGCGAGGAAGACCAAATATGAAACGGGCTGATTCCACAGAAGATCCCACAACCCTGACTTCACTGAGGAGGGCTGTTAAGGACAGGCTATTTTGGCGGGTATATATTCATAGCGCCACCATAAGTCCGAGATGACTTAATGGCACTGCCGACAACAAAAACAGTGCCTTGTAGAAGTATTCACCCCCTTTTGTCTTTGTTGTGCTGCATCCTGGAACTGAACAGGATTTACAAGATACACAACCCTGTGAAGGTACAAAATATTTTGTAAAAATATAAGGTGTAAAAATTAAGTAAACAAAAACAAGTTGGCATTGCTCGATTGCATGACATATTCAACCTTCAGAATCAAGACTTGGCAGAGGCAAATTTTGCAGCAATCACAATCACAAAGCTCTATCAGCTTTGCACACCTGGAATTCTTCCTGACAAAATGACTCCAGGTCTGTCACATGGGATGGGGACCATTAGTCAACACTAACTTTTAAGTCTTGCCACAGAATCTCAATTGGTTTTAGGTCTGGTCTATGACTAGGAAATCCTAAGGCAGTGATGGCGAATCTTGTAGAGAATGAGTGCCCAAACTGCAACCCAAACCCAATGCTGCAATAAAACCTGAATACTGAGGTTTTACGTAGTTTAGAAAAAACAACTCCTACATTAATTTATTTTGTCTTAAAAGAAAACACAATAACAGAGCTTTCAATGATACAAACAGCTTTTTATTGAAAGGTAAAAGTATGCATTTGGTGTGCTTTTGCACAATTCATGTGATCTTTGCTGTTGTATGCTTGCTGATAATTTATCAAACCTTGGCTCAAATATGCCAGGGGGACAGCACAACATTTAAAGAATCTCAGTCTCTTAATTAGAACATCTCTTTGCTAAATCTTAGACATTAAATTTCAATTTTTCATAAGAAAACTCAAAGCTAAAATCTTGTGTTAATAAAAACAAATGTATTAAAACTCACAGGATATATTTATATATCCTTGGCAGCACACTTACTGGCCATGTGAAAGCTTGGATGAGTCGCGGGTAGCGAGTCGTGGCTCATGACGTCATTGCCCGGTGCTGCTGCTCCTTTCCAAGTGTGCACATAACCTCTGTGTGTGCTGTTATCTGATGCTGGGGTGACTTGACTCGCATGCCGACAGAGAGGGCTCTGTGTGCCTGCTGCGGCACGCATGCCATAGATTCGCCACCACTGTCCTAAGACATTCAGGTTCTTGCTCTGAAACCATTCCACTCATTATTCCAGCTGTGTGGTTAGGGTCGTTGTCCTGCTGGAAGGTGAGCTTTTGTTCCAATCCTAGGCCATTTGGAAACTGAAACGGTTTTCTCAAGAATCACCCTGTGTTTGGCTCCATCCATCATGTTCTCAATCCTGACCAGTTTCCTAGTCCCTGCCAAGAAAAAGAATCCCCACAACATAATGCAGCCACAACCACGCTTCACCATGGAAATGATATTTTCAAGGCAAAGCTCCTAGGATACTCATAGTTATTTACATTTATTCATTTAGCACTTTTATATACCATCTTGTAGCACATGGCTCTCTAGATGGTTTAATAAAAATTAACAACATAAAACTTAATACATAAACAATTAAAACCACAGTATCAATAAATAATAAAAGTAAGGTAACATCACCCTCATAGCAGGAACACCAAATAATAGTTTAACAACCAATTGGAAAAACCTTAAAACATCATAATTACAAACACTAAACTTTACTTTTAACTACCAATTAAAATCAAATTCCAACTAAAATAATCAACAATTAAAATGCTCCTTGAATAAAAATGACTTGGTCTGGTGTTGGAATGTTTATATAAGCATGGTGCTTGACGATATCTCTGAGAAGTCGATTCAATAGATGGGGCGCCACAACTGAGTAGGCCCTGCCCCAGGTTGCCATCCTCCTAGCTTCCTTTAGAGATGGCTCCCAGAGAAGGACCTCTGATGACAGTCTTAGGGTCTGGGTAGCTTATATGAATGAAAACAGTCTTTCAGATATTCAGATCCTAAAACATTTAGGACTTAATATGTTAAAACATGCACCTTGAATTGAGTCCAGACTTCAATGGGCAACCAGTGTAATCAATATTTCAATGGGCAACCAGTGTAATTAATACAGGACTGGTTTTATGTGCTTGGTATTATCTATCCCCATCAGCAGCCTAGCTGCTCTATTTTGTACCAACTTTAACTCCCAGACCATTTTCAAGGGCAGCCCCACATAGAATGCATTACAGTAGTCCAATTGAGAGGTTACCAGGGCATGGATTACTGTTGCTAGGTCCTGCCTGTCGAGTTGGGAATATTTTTAAATAACTTAACCCTGCCTGGTGCTTCTACACATTGTATCAGAATAGTTTTGATAGCTCTTTGGTTTTTGTTATGCTGCTTGTTTACATATACTCCCCAACAAACTCCTGGGCTTTCAGGAAGCAGTGTATTTAATCTGAGACCATGATGTCCAGCAATTGGCCACTGATGGACTCCACTGAATTACTTACAAGAACAATATATGACTTCTGGAAGCAGTGGGTTGTTCCAGAGCTTACTGAGGTATGTCATATCAAGCAGGGTATTTATATAACTTACAACTTATTTTTGTTTACTTAACATTTATATCACAGGAAGAATATTTTGCACTTTCACAGAGCTGAGTATCTTGCATGCACCAAGTGGTAACAATGCCAATTAAATCCATTTTAATTCCAGATTGTAATGGAAAAGAAAAACAAAAACAAGAAAAAATGGAAAAGTCAAAGAGTGGGGGATGAATTGATTGTTGGGCTTTTTTAATGAAGGATGGACACACTGAATCTCTGTTGCTGTTCAAGGCATGGAAGCCTTAACTCAGCATGTTGAATTATTACTACCACTATGCATTATTATTTAGAATGTGCATGTGTGTACATATTTGCATATGTGGCAGAGGAAGAAAAGCACAGTGTTTTTATGGATTGTGTATTTTAGGAATTAGTGAATACCACTATATTGTCCGTTATACACAATTAAGAGAACTAAATTTACTTCTGTCCATTAATTTGCATGAGCGAAGAATATCATCCTGCGACAATGCTGAATATTTCCAATTGCATCCTTAAGTTCAAAGGAATATGCTACTATGTGATCTACTCTTCCTGGGCATTCTAGTTTTACTAGAAATCCAATGCACCACTACACCACAAAGACCTGTGATTCTCTTTTTTAATGTAAGCATTACTTCATCATCCTTTACATTGTAACATGGACAAAAAAAGTAATTCACAACTTGATAGCTCCTCTTAGTTTTGCTGAACGTGCCCTTGGATTGCTTGCAGTATCCTGAGCCTGTGGTTTAAGGGGTTTCTTCTGTATAGGTGCCCATCTGGAGTTACCATTTTCACTGGACAATTCATCTTCCTCCTCTTCTCCTAAAGAATTCTTTCTCATTTGCCTGACTTTCTCTCTTATACTGAGGTTGTACTTTAGTGACATGTCTATTCCATGAAGAAAACGCTTGATGATCCGATCTTCTAATGAATGGAAAGAAAGTGCAACAAGTCGACCCCCAGGTTTTAGAAACTTCTCAGCTGTCTTTAATCCGGCGTAGAGTTCATGCAGCTCATTGTTGACAAAGATACGCAAGGCTTGGAAAGTTTTGGTTGCAACATGTGTTGGTCTGTTAAGCAAGTCTTTTCGAGAATACAAAGCTGAATCAGGGAAAGCCCCTGTTAGAGAGAGAGAGAATAAGAATATTATTTTTTTGGCCCTTCACTAACACCTTTGTATTACTATTAATTACTAATACCTTTGTATTACTATTATTCCTGTAGTAAATGTCAGGTGCTGATATTTAATGATAGTTGTCAACATTTTAGAAAACTCATCATCAGAAAGTGGTGAGAAGCGTTTCTGAAGCTCCTGATTAATCAAGTGCCTTTGGCAAAATACAAGATTTCATCCTCTTTTCTGACCAATGTTGGTCTTTGTCTGGGTCAAGCTCAAGGATGAGAAGAAATGTGAAGAACTGTTTTCAGACTTGTCTTTGCATATATCATTAGCAGAGATGATAGTGAGCTTATGTATCCAGCTAAATCAATTCCAATTATAATCAGGACTATTAAGTGTACACACACTTGGGTTAGAAGGACCTGATTAATTCCGGCTCCTTGTTGAAAGGCAGGAATAATCAGATCATTTACCTGCTCCCTCTGCTTGTTCTGGCATTCTCGGGAAACACCATGAAATAGGAATTACAATCACTCTAACCACTGCAGATTTCCAGGAGAGGAGGCAGTATTTACTGATGTGCCCCCAAACTTGAAAACCTAAGTCTGCTCACATTGCTCTACATGAATTTTATTTTATTGTCATCCCATCATCCTGCAGCTTAAAATGGAAGGTTGGCACAATTGGTTACAACCTGCTGCTTGTAATGGCATCCCAGTAAATAATGGAAATCAAGCATGAAACTTGGTCATTTATGAAGGGCATACAAGTTGGCCTAAGTTTCATTCAAACAATGCAATGCAAAATGTTAAGAATTACTAGTAAATCACTATAGGTAAAGGTAAAGGTTTCCCCTTGACATTAAGTCCAATCATGCCTGGCTCTAGGGGGCGGTGCTCATCTCCATTTTCTAGCCAAGGGAGCCAGTGTTTGTCCGCAGACAGTCTCCGTGGTCATGTGGCTGGCATGACTAAACACCGAAGTGCACGGAACGCTGTTACCTACCCACCAAAGTGGTACCTTTTTATCTACTTGCATTTGCATGCTTTCGAACTGCAAGGTTGGCAGGAGCTGGGATGGAGCAACGGGAACTCACTCCGTTGTGCAGATTTGAACCAGCAACCTTTTGCTCAACCAGCACAGCAGCACAGCGGTTTAAACCACTGCGCCACCTGTAGTCCCCTAAATCACTATATTCACCTGTAAAACCTGTGCAGTTACTGCATCTGGTAACTCCTACATAGAAAAGACAGCCTTAGCCACTCCCTATGTCCCTAGTTTCAGGATTTTATAATGCCAGCTGTACCAGTTGTGTGGTCTACTAGACTGTAGGACAGGGGTCCTCAACCAGTGGGAGTTCTCACAAATGGCTGCCACAAGTCACTAAAGATAATTTTCAGGAAAGGCAAATTGATGAGGATAAAAGAAAAGTAACTTGTCCAAAAACCTAAAAATAAGCAAAGGAGGACTCTGAGCTCCCAAACACAGAATTTTCCTTTTGCACTATCAGCTTTCTGCTCCAGCACCCTTTCATAAAAAGGCAAATTGAGTAAGCTCAGGGACAAGTAAATTGGCCAAGAAAATGAGTACAGGTCATGGTGGGGGAATTGAGCTGTAAATGTAAATCATGTATTTGCTCCAACAATGCATAGCAATACGCATTTCTGAGCATGTAAACTGGTTGTGTAGAGAGACACAGGAAAAGACCCACTCACTTCACACATCCACCCCCACAGAGAAAAACCTCTTCCCCACAAAAATGCGCACACACAAGCCAAGCAAAACACATTCTACCCACAGACACCATGCAAGGGGCCCCAGCTCTAGGCTGTCAGTGAATCAGTTTCTGAAATCTTTACAGTTTACAAAATCCCAAAGCATTGTTAAGACTACTTGCTAAAAAGGTTTTTTCTGGCCACCGCATATGTAAATGGTACATAACACTTATGGCCTAAATCAAAACTGTCATGAGCAGCTATGTGTGAGACTGGGCCTCAGCCTAGGACATGGCCAACATTTCCAGTTCTCAAAGTGCCAAACATCTTTTGAAGGTGATCTCCCTACATACAAGTTGATTACTGGGACTCTCAAGGTTAACACCTTTTAGTGTTTTTTTTTTTTTTTTTTTTTTTTTTTTGCTGCCACGTATGTAAGGTCAACCCAAGCAAGATCTGAATGCAAAGCTCCCGAAGCAGTGGGTTCTTCTAAGTGCAGTGTGTCCAGTCTAGAAGTTCTTGAGAGGGCAAGTGAACACTCATAGTCAGATGGCATAATTAAAATGGTGATCTCTGAAATGAATGTTTAAGAGTGTTTGTCCTCATTTTATTTCTAAGTGTTCATCAACTGACATTGAATGATGACAGCCAGATCTACTCACAGTATTTAAGTTAATGTATGTTCATTAATTCAAACATCATGTTAGAATTATATTTCTATCTGAATATGGATATTAATTGCTACACAGACAAAACCACAATCTATTGATAAATAGAATATATACAGATGTTCAGTTAGCTTAGAAAATGATTCTTTGGCTACTGCCACACTTCCATTTAGCCTTCTTTAAACTATCACGTCCTTCCCATCACAAGCCCATTATAAATATCAGGCACTGGCATTGTGTCTCCACTGACAAGTGTGATAACCTTTTCAAAACCGTCTCACCATCCTCCTGCAAGTGCCATGCATCATATTTATTAAAAACTCAAGCTCATGGAGAATGCACCCATCTAAACTATACTACTGCAATACTGTGCTAGCATCTTAAGGTGAAGATGCCACTTTTAAATAGAAGAGGTGGCATTAAAAGCACCTGTGCTCTTCAATGATATCTGCAATATTCCAGGGTTAATTCAAAACACTACTGCAGGAGTCTGGGAACATCTGCTAAAATAACTTCCACGTGGTTGCCACTTTGTTTTAAGGTTGTAATATTCGAATTCAGTTTGGCCACTGCATATGTTAAGCATCAACAGCAGTGCTGCATTACCTGGGGCCATATGATCAAGCTGGGGAAAGAGACTCAACAATTATCTCAGCTGCAAGAAGCTCCAACCATGCAGAAGCAGTTTCTCCTGATAGCCATGACAATGAAGTAATTTTTGAATGGGTTAAACAACGTAGAAATGATGCCTCCTGATCCATGCATATGGTGAACATATGTATTCACCAAAGGCAATGGCTGCTGTCCACCACAACACACAAGCCACATTTACACAATCACATGGGTTGGCTTCTTCTTCTTTGGCATAGCAGTCTGTCCAAGACAGCACAGCATTCAGAAATCAAGGAACTGATGGATCTTCAGTCATTCTTCCACTCTAGGCCTTCTTCCTTGTCCCTTGGATTCCACAAAAAACTAATCATGAACGCACATGTTGTCATTTACCACTTGTCTACAAATGAAAGAATCAGCCAGGAACTTTTGGCTAACACATTGTTTATTATGTTGAATGCATTTGTGGCATTCAGTCTTTCATTTCATATTGCTGGAAGGAAGGAACAGACAAAAAGAAACTTCAGCAAACTGAATACAAAAGACCGTAGCCGAAATGAAGCAAAGGGATCTTAAACACACAGCAAGTTGCCTTCTCCTTCCGTATAATGTATCTAAAAATATTTTTTCATTTGAAAGTGAAGTCCCTTAACTTAATGCTGACTGAAGCTTATACCAAGGGGAAAAAGTGATTCTTCCATATATAATTTAAAGATCACTGTGGTAAGCAAAGTAAACAGTTTTCACAAATGAGCAAGTAACTATAAACAGCATCACTCTTAGGATATTTTCAGATGAACCAGCATGCTTAAAACCTGACTATACAAGAAAATCAGAAATATGATATGCACTTCTGTGTGTGTATGAAGCATGCCACACCATTCCTCTTCCCCTACTTGCATTTCGTTAAACTTTTAAAAGCCCCTAATCCTTAAGTTGTTGTTCGTGTCTAACAACAACAATCCTTAAGTTTCCTTTCAGGGAAAGTAGTGAAATCCCAAAATACAGTCTTTTGGTGTTCCTTTCAGTTTCTTTTCCAGCTTTATTGCATTATTATTGATATGGAAGACTAGATTGGTATGTTGTATTCTAAATGTGGCTATAGATATTTGATGAATAAAAATTGGACATATCCAGGAATTCCTCTAAATTCAGCATTAGGGATAGACATCCCTCCCGCAGGGAGGGGAGTAAAGAGACTACTGTATTCTGCATCTGCAGTACATTTAAGAAATCTTGTCGTGAGCTGTAGACAACAATAAGGGCTTGTGAAGTCTCCCAAAGTCCTAGGCTGGAGCTCAGCCAAGCCCTTATCTGAGAATGCTTTGACCACAGGGATGCACTCCTGTGAGAATAGCACTGTAAAAGGTTTAGATGAGGAGGATCCAAGAGGAATAATTGTGAGCACATGTACACAAGAATACATGTCTTCATGAGGCACTAGAACACAATGTGGCTGAAGCAGGGGCACTTCTGGAGTTCAGAAGCAATGTGAGGGATGTGATAAGAAATTTAGCATCCATTTCTACTTTGGCAAGTGGCTGGCATCATATTACAAAGAATCAAATTTGTTACCGCCTGACTGGTTTGACTGTTGATGGTTCCTTCACTAGGAATGCCACTCAAATAGTTGTTACATGCAATCAAAAGACCCTTAGGGAATGCACAAGGTAGAAGAACACTGATTGTCGATGTATGTAAAAGCAGGTTGCTTACCTGTAACTGATGTTCTTCGAGTGGCCATCTGTGCAGTCACACATATGGGTACTGCGCCTGCGCAGTGCCTATGGCCGGAAGATTGATAGCTAACGGTTTGGCGGGAAACTCCGCTCCCCTCCCCCCAGCAGTATATATGGAGCGGAGTGTCCGCCATTTTCCAGTCTTTGACAGACCGGACGTTCGCTCTCTAAAGAACAAATTGTAACTAAATAATGAAAATGTTGCCGGAATCGACGACAAGAGAGAAAATACTGATTAGGTACCGATGACAAGCATAACACGGTA